ATAGTTAAGGATGTGGGCTGTTCTAGTTTTAGGGAAATGCGAAGTTTAGCTCAGGATAGGAAAGAGTGGAGGTACGTGTCCAACCAGTCTTAGAACTGATGACCTTATGATGATGATGATGAATCGTAAACAATGAATTTGATTATGTGATGAATCATGTGATGATCTTTAGCAAATGTGTTGTACATGAGCTAAAGAAGGTTTCTGAGTTGGTACGACCAATTTTCGACAGAAAAAACAAGAAATATTGTGTATCCCACAGCACTTCAATAAATATTGAATTGAAACGAAACGCTGCAATGTCACAATTTTTTCGAAATTAACAAAATCAATAAAGTGACTCAAAATGAATTGAATATTTGTGTAATGTCTTTCCTTTAAATTTATTTAAGTTGGTGGCGTAGCAACGCGCGCAGTGTACAGCTAGTTATCTTATAAAAGTGCAGAATAGTACCATCATCAAGATTTTACCCACTGTTATGTTAACTATGACGCGAAATCATATCATATCGTTTTTGTTTTCGAGTGCCTAAAAATAAGTACAAAAAAACAATATCATCTTACTGGTTCTCAAAGGGTATAATAATATATAGATACGTACTACGTATTACTTCTTTTGGATAAGCATCAATTCATAATACATATATTCTCATACAGGTAATACGTTTTGTTTGCAAAAAAACTACATAAAGTATATATATCTTAGTATCTGACCGTGAATACACTTTAACCCTTAATTGTTGCTACTTTTTATTGAGCGGTGAACAAATTTCTTCAATTTTTTTATCTTGTCGTGAGAAAAAGAACATGCGAAAAAGTAAACTAAATGTCATAATATTAATCAATTCAAGATTTAAATTACATAAATGTAAGATACACAATGACAATTTTGCAATTTCTTATCGTATTCCGTACTTTTCTTATGTACGTAAAATAATAGATAAACTACGTAAGCTTCAATTTAATAACAATTCGTTTGCGTATGTTACATTAAGATAATCGTAAAATCACGCCTAAGACACGTTGTAGTAGATAAAGAACTGGAAATGTCACTTAACAGTTTATGATGTAAAAGAAAATTTAATATATATCAAAAAAATATATTCACTGTTATGATTACCGTTACCAACAACATTTCTCAAAAATACATAAGTAAACAAATTAATATCTATATACAGGGTGACCTAAAAAGTTAGTAATACGTTCATTGCGTTCAAAAAGTTTAATCAAAAAATTTTCTAACAAAACGTGTTCATTCGTAAATGCTAAAGATTTTGACATTTGCAGTTCGTATCGATCAAGAAGAGAAATAACTTTATACAATGACGTATTACGGGCGGAAGGGGAAGCAAATCCGTGCCAGATCCAGCAGGTGCTTGGATACCGTATAAGCTTCACTGCCGACAAAAATTTTCCGGACAAATCTATAAATACTATTTGAAAGTAAAAAAAAAAATATGTGAGTACAAAGCAATTTCTTCCACACCATCGGTACTGTTTCTCACGCTAACCTTGGACAGTTACTTACAAAACAAGTAGTGTTCCCTGTTAAACGTTTACAAACATTTTTGAAAAATTTTAATGGTCATAACTTATTCCAATAAGTCGGTTATGAGAAGAGGATTCAAAGGATATACAGTTGCTACAAAAAAAAAACCCTTTTACGGCGTACAAACAAAAAGGAAGGCTGGATTAGCCTCGAAAACATGAACGTTGAACTATTCAAAACTAAAAAAAGTAGTATAGCTGACTCTCTAAGTCTAGGGCAAAGACCAAAAGGAGAAAATGCATCCTGATTGTATTCATAACGCCAACTGCTAAGCACGTTGGTCTGTCCCTTATAGTATTGGGAAGCTTTTGCTGTGTAGGTGTTGGGAGTCTTCAAATACGCGGGGACCCGATTTGGGTCTAGTACCCAACGGATTCGGCACATTTTTTTTTAGTGATTTTATCACCTTGCAAACTTTTAGTGCTTATAAAAATTATTATAGGCTTGTTTCAACTGTTTCAACTCAAGCTAGTGTTTAAACGACTTTTTAAACGAGACTTGAAAGTGGTTTGGGGGGTGTTTAATAAAAATCCCGCCAGAACAAAGACATGAACCATTATGAATACTGTCTAAAGCCGGGTATATGCTTATCCAGTACCCGGAAAAATCAGGTACATCTTTAGTGTGTAACATATTAATAATAGCCGTGAATTGAACCCAAGGACCATTCGAATTCAGATTGTAATCCCGCCAGTTTATATCATTATCTGAGGCTACACGGGCTGATAGCAATTTCGTAAGCCTTGGTCACTAGATGCACCTCCGATATGAACGAAGTGTACCTTCTTTTATTTACAGTAACTTGCATTCAAAATTACCTTCGTATAGGTTGGGATTGGGTTAAGTTTGGTTCAATATTTTCATGTCTTCGTAGCTTGAAAATTGTGCGAAGAAATAGTTTCTGCGTCAAACATATATTTATAACTTTATGCATTCTTGTACAGGATATTGAAGTGCATAACACGAGAAGAAGTACACGAGGCAAGATCTTTACCATATTACTATTAGCCTGAAATAGTAACGTAAACTGCTGAGATTTTAAGTTGCATATGAACGGGTTCTCGGTTATCGATATTTTAAGTTGAATTTGCGTCGACTTTATTAACTGGGAGTAAGTTTTCTGGAAGTATCGTTTTTAAACGATTTTATTTAGCTTAGGCGGGGATAGGTGCGAGACATTTACAACAATTACCTTAACTTTCCCATGCGTCAAATATCTTAACTAGAATTGCGAAGAGTAGGATGGAAAAAACTGCGGAAGAACTATTAGAAGATCAATTTGGGTTCAGAAGAAATAGAGGAACGCAGGAGGCCATTGTAGCTTTACGGGTAACAATAGAGAAAACGATAGAAAAAGGAAAGAGTGCGTACATAGGATTTGTAGATTTAGAAGAAGCTTTTGAGAATGTTAAATGGGACAAGATGTTAAATATACTTAAAAATGTAGGGATGAGTTACAAATATAGAAGAGTGATACTTAGTTTGTATAAAAAACAACAGGCAGTTATAGAGCTAGGGTTGCAACGTAGAGAAATAAAAATTAGGAGTCAATCAGTACTATATGAAAATAAATAAAAGTAAAACTAAAATACTGGTATGCAAGAGAAGTAGGGAAAGAGCAAATATAAAGATAGGAGACGAAAAATTAAAAGAAGTGACTTATTTTAGATATCTAGGCAGTCAGATAAGTCAGGACGGAAGGAGTAGTAGCGGCTGAAGAGGACCTTAATCGGTCCTAGAACGGCCTGAGGTAGAGGGGTTTTAGTCGGTAGGTCCGAGGACTTCTCCCTCGGGAATCCGACAGTACCCAGTCGTGCGGACGGCTGGGTGTCTTTTGAAGATTTCCCCTCTTCCACGAAAACATAAAAAAAAAGGAGTAATAGGGATATAAAGAAGAGGATAGCGCAGGGTCGTGTCGTCTTTAAAAAAAAGAGGTCGATTCGAAAAAGGTTGTTAAAGGTGTATGTTTGGAGCGCGACGTTGCATGAGTGCAAAACATGGACAGTGGGCGCAGCGGAAAAGAAAAGGTTAGAAGCGTTCGAAATGTGATGTTACAGGAGAATGATGAGGATAACGTGGATAGAGAAGATAAGAAATGAAGAGATATTAGAAAGAATAGGAGAACAGATGGCTGCCGGCACAGAATGGCAGATTTCATATTTGTTCCAATATTTCTAATTTCATATTTGTTTCCTAGACTCGAGATCAGAAGCTGATACTTAGTAGTCTTTGGAAAGAATATGTATCGAGGAGATAGATTCCAACAAATTGTAAGGAAAGAAACTTTTAATAATGAGGCACTAAATAAATTAAATAGAATGAGAAATATTAACCACCGAAATAAAAATTTAAGTTAAACGGTTTTATTGAAAATAAAGATAATAATGATAACAACTCTCCTCATCAATTTAGGGCACTGATCAGGCAAAAAAATAAAATCGTGGGGCGTGGAATAACCTGAATAAATATGTAAAAAGCATTTATAATGATATAAGTGGTTGACTGTTGATTGAAATTTCACGCACCCCACAATTTTATTTTTTTGTTTGATCAATACCCTAGATTGATGAGGAGAGTGGTGTGGTGACTGGTATCTAGAACCTACCGAATTATTTTTTAGCTTTTAATACATTATCTACATCATTATAATTTTTATTTTAAATAAAAACGTTTGACGTAAAATTTTTTTTTACTTGTTTTATTTACAACTTAATTAGATGGGCATGCATACTCCGTATGGGTTTATGTTACTCTTGTTAACTTTTAACTTGAATGTCTTTTAAAATAGGGGGTAAAATATACTTTTTTCCAATGCATTGTAAAAACGAAAATGATACTTATTCTTCAAAAAGTACTGAATTAATTGTTATAGAATATACCTATTTAATAGTAAGTATAAATACCTGCATGATATTAGTAGTATAGATACACAAAACTGCGTCAAAAAGTAAATACTTGAGGGAAATTTAATTTCGTTTCACTTGTTTAGAGCACTCGAATCATTAGTGAGACTTTTATTAACTTTATTCAGTCTTATTTATCTTCGAGTAATCAGTAAAATTATCAACTTCTATCATTCCTCTTTTCAAATAAACAATTACGTACATTTTATTACTTTTAAAAAATGTAAATTATATAGGTATTTCTACCGAGACCATGGAGTGCTACCTCTTGTTTTAATTTGGCATCATTTCAAATACAATCAGAACTGATAATTAACAGTAATAACCAAGAAATGAATTAACAAAATTATTAGCTATCTGTAATGCTCTTGAAAGCGTTACATAAATGTAAGGTTATCTTTATATCTTTATAATGTCCCCGGCAATAATATTTACAAACATTTATTACATTAAAGTATGCAAACAGGCGGATTCACGCTTCATGCATTTAATTTTTTTTATTATTATTATTATTATTGAAGGGAGATAAGAGAATTAATTTTACGTACCGGCCGATTTACCATTGAACTGTGCACCTTTTGTCGTCCGCTTAACGCCATAGCCGTTTTTACTTATTCTATTGATATTGTTCAATTCAGGTACAAATATTTCCATCACTGATAAGGTATCTTTGGTGTACACGGGGTTTTTCCTTGGAAAAGCTGCAACGTTTGACGACATCTAAGAGGTATTTGTTTGTTAAAATGTAACTCGTAAATTAACAAAATCGTCAACGGACACTTTACAATAATTGTATCACGCGAAAAGCACCAAGACCACAAATTTTTACAGACATGTGAACAATCAGATGAATGGCTGCACAAAAACATCTTTCCTGCAGTTGGTAAAAATACTATTTGCCATGTAGATAAGAACAGACGTCATTGGGCACTGTTCATTTGGTACGCACGAATGAATGGCCGATTTCCACGTGGACAGTAGAAAAATAATAAGCAAAAGAGGGTCACGGCACTGCTACATAACAAAAACTCCGTTATCTGTATAAATGACCAATCAACATGTTTCAATACGTCAACAAATAATTCATGAGTCCTATGTCAAATCTCCACCAGCACGGTTTTATTAACTCCTTAACATTTGCATAATACCAATCATGTTGTAAACAACGACAAGAGATATCTAATAGTCTGTCTGGCTTAATAGGAGGAAGACACATAATCTTTGAAGCGATATAAGCGGAATTTTTGTCAAAATAAAAAAACCATAGCTTCCAAGATATCATAATAACTGATAGGTACAACAGACCAAGGGTCGGAGACTTCAACAATTGTATCAATGCACCTAGTAGACGTCTGGCTCGGAAATCATATCTTACATTGCACTTTATTTTTATGTTGTTTATTTAATCGTTTTCAGATGAACATAACAATAATAGGTATAAGTATCACAAAAGATCGAGTCATTAATAATTTTAAGGATCTTTTTAATCTAGGAAAATCGAGAAAGTTATGGGACAATAAACTACTATGAAAGCCAATTTCCCATGTTATTTAGATGATTGAAATGTAACATAGATATAGGGCTGTTCGGAAAGTCATTTCGTTTTTTTTTTGTGGAAATGAAAGACAGTTTTCGTATAATAAACAAATACTTTATTAAATTATATATTGACCGTTCTGGTCCAACACCTTTTGCCATCTTTCTGGTAGTAGCATAATTCCACGCTCATAAAATTTTGGAGTGACCGGAACAAATAATAATCCGATGGTGCCAGGTCTGGAGAATATGGTGGGTGTAGCATTGTATCCCATTCAAGCTGTAAAAGCTTTTGGCGAGTGACCAAACTTGTGTGAGGTCTCGCGTTGTCTTGGTGAAACACTACACCTTTCCTGTTGATTAGTTCTGACCTTTTCTGTTGAAGTGCATCATTCAGTTTGTCCAGCTGATGACAGTAGACTTCCGAATTAATCGTTGTGTTATCCGGTAAAAGCTCAAAAAAAACGATTCCTTTAAAATCCCACCAAACAGACAGCATCACCTTTTTTTGGTGAATATCGGCTTTGGAAATGGTTTGAGCCGGTTCATCTTTTTTGCTCCATGACCTCTTGCGTTTGACGTTGTTGTATACAACCCATTTTTCGTCCCCAGTGATGATGCGCTTCAAAAACGGATCATTTTCGTGACGTTTGAGAAGCGAATCGCAGACGTCAATGCGGCGACACAGATTTCTCTCTGTGAGAACATGGGGAACCCATACATCGAGCTTCGAGGATAATCCCAGGCCTTTCAAGTGGTCATAAACTGTTGAATTTGATAAATTTAACCTCAATCCGATCTCACGTGTTGTTATTCGCCGGTTCACATCAACTAATGCCTTTATCGCGTCTTTATCAGCTTCAACCGGCCTTCCCGAACGTGGTGCATCTTCGACATCAAAATTGCCGGATCGAAATTTAGCGAACCAGTTCTGGCACTGGCGTACTGTCAACACACCTTCTCCATACACATCAGTCAATTTCTTTCTGGCTTGAACAGCATTTTTACCCTTTCTGTAGTAAAACAGTAAGATATGTCGAAAATGCTGCTTATCGCTCTCCATATTTAAAAGGGCACCAACCAAAAACTACTGCGTAGAATTAATTGGAATTTTTCACACACAAGCCTTGCTATATGAGCTCTCAAAGCATATAAAAATTATACGGCTTAAATGTGAAGTTGGGTGCAAAAGAATACAATTAAATCCTCTGTCGGGAAAAAACGAAATGACTTTCCGAACAACCCGATAGAATAACAGTTTTTTCCATAATTGTCTTAAACGTTCCATACTTGCCTTGAAAGTTTTTGAAATTTTAATTATATTAGTGTTTTATTATCTTTGATCTATCTTTATTTTCAAGTAATTTTAATGTGAATTTAATTTGCGAGCATAGGTAACATGTATTTCCTCTTACAGACACATTGTTCATATTTAGAAAGTCATGTTTGTTCCTATAAAGTGAAGATGTTGAGGGTTTGGATATACGTGTATGTTTAGTGCTTAATTTTAAAATAAAGAAATTTCCCACTACCGCCCATTCCTGACCGCTTTTAATCCAGAACTTGGATTTTCCAAAACGCTCACTATATTTCTAAATAGGTTTATTAACTAAAAAACAAATACAGATATGTTTGTTCGTAATTTGGCAAAGAATACGACAGAAACTGAAGTATGCAATTATTACTTTTATAGTTATGATTAAACAACCAGGCTTCCGCTCAGTAACATAACACATGTTCATGATTAACACTTTACTAGTAAGTGATTTCATGGATAAATTAATTAGAGGTGGGCTGAGTACTCAGTTTGGTTCCAGTACCTGGGAGATCCGATACTTTTTTTGGGATCCAGAACCTGTAACCAGGTACCTACCTACTAAGCAGTGCAAAAACCTACATAATGAAAATTGGTAATTAAGATTGTATTAGGATAGGTCGTTTGTCGTAATTTGTATTATTTATTGATTACTGTATTAAATTATTTGTTATTTCTAACAGTTCTTATGTACTGTATTTAAGATAACTGGTTTATCGCAATGATCTATTCACAAAATACTTCCGGTGCAATTCGAAGCTAGTAATAAAAGTCGCACAATAACAACGACTTATTTTACATAAACTTAACGAAGATTATATACTAATCGAGAGGATAACCACCAAAAAACTTTTTTGTTTCACGTGAAATTTGGCTTGGCTTCACGGGATTCTATGCGGATTTCATAGCGTTTCATTTGAATTTCATTGATAAGATGATAAGACTTCGTCCAACTTCATAAGATTTCACGAGCACCTACATTGGATTCCATTAGATTTTCGTACTGAAAACATTTCATGTGGACTTCAGAGGGTCACATGCGGATTTCATGTGAATTTTCACATTTCATACCGTTGTAAATATCAAATGGGTAGACGACAATAAACCACAAAAATAACCAAGCTTTGTACTATCTTCCCCAATGTTGAATTAGAACTGTTACAATAAAAGCGACCAGAGGAATGAAACATTATTTATTTAATTTGCAATCTTAAACCGACGTTCCGCCTTTTTGGTTGAAACTTTTCTTTTATTGAAGTCGACTCGACCCTACGCTATACTCTGCTTTATATTACTACTACTTCTTCCGTCCTGACTTATCTGATTTCCGAAATATCAGCCAAACGTATCAAACTTATAAAATAAAACATTTTAAATTCATAAATTTGGTAAACAATGAAGAAAGGTAATGAAAGCAGGTATATATAGATTTCACTTTAACCGCGGATTTATTCATGGAAGTTCCCTTATGTATAAAACTTTAAGGGCAGTTTGCTGGTCATTCTTGAACATGCACCACACTCCAATACTAATTTCTTCACAAATTTTAAATCCAGGAATCATGTTTTCATAAAACAGCTTTGTTGCTTAACAGGATCTGTATTCGGTTTCCTTGACTATTTGAAGGTAATCACTGCTTCATCATTACTTCTTAGTAATAACCAGCACATGAAAGAACAAATATAAATAATCATAATGGTTTTAGGCTTAGAAGTACAGGATGACCGACAGAATCTGACATTTTTGAAATGAACAGTGCACGTTTACTTTTACGGAAAATTTTATTTAAATACAAATAATTGTTTGTCATTACATGCTTTTCACTTATGAAATATTACATCGGATAAGTGGTGTCCATCCTCCAGACTGCATTTTTCTGGCCTTTGCAGAAAATCGGCCATCACACGAGTCATGAATTCATCACCAGTTGTAGCCACTTCTTCTCTGTTTCTTTCCTTTAGTTTTGTTAATGTACGGGGTCTGTGAGAGTATACGCATGATTTCAGAAACTCGCATATAAAAGTCACAAGTGCTCAAAAGTACTCGAAAGTAATTTTATTCCCCCAGTGCTGATAATAAAAGATAACAAAAGACCAGATTTCATAAATGGACTTTCTCCTGGCTCAGACATGTACATAAACCAGGACAATTAAGAGTATTAACATCCACTTATTTATAAATTGGTTTCGAAAATACTTCATTCCAAGGAAAGGTGTCGGTAAAGCAATTGGGTAAAGCGTTGTTAATTTTAGACGGACATGCATCGCATTACGTACAATGCAATTGAGCTTTTGTCTTTGATATTGAACTTTTATGGCTCCCAAGTCATACAACCAAGGCATTAGAGCCTATTGATACGTCATTGTTTAAGCCTCTAAAAATTTATTTTATACAGGAAACGAGAACATGGGTGATGAATTATAAAGATAAATCAAAAAAGATAAATATATATATNAAAATGTCCCCGGACAAAATATCCCTGACAAAATATCCCCGTGACAAAATATCACCGAACAAAAGCCCCGATAATAAATTATCGAACCGATACTTCAATAAATAATATAACGACAAGGTGGCATGGCGCAAGTTTGACTGGGTTAGGTTAGGTTATTGTTATGTTTGATCATGTGAGGTGTGGTTATAGCGATTTTTAGGATGGGGGGATATTTTGTCTAGGGATATTTAGTCTGGAGATATATTGTCACGGTGACATTTTGTCACGGGGATATTTTGTCCGGGGATATTTTGTCCGGTGATATTATGTCGGGGGATGAAAAATCATGAAACCTGAGTCGGTTGAGTATTCATTATAAAATTTATTACTAGTTTCAGGAAAATTCCATAACTTGCATCTTTCTACCTAATTTTAGATATCTTTAGCTTAAGTATAACACATAGACTCCAACCGAACACCAAACTGGAAACATCAACATCATTGCATTGCTGAACCAACGAGTCGTAGCCCCTCAAATTGCTAAGAACTCGACGCACACCACCAGGCCCGGCTGTAATTTTAGTAATCAATCTAGTGGACGACTAAATAAACAGAAAATACATAATGTTGGAGTAAATAGTGTGTTCCCAATGACCAACCCCATGTGCATATCAATATTGCTACCTAGCGTGAGTTACATTCTTTTTTAGTCTTATGCGGTTCTTGTTTACCATCTGCGCCGCAAGTGAAAAAATCAGGAGTCACCTCTCGATGGTTCAGCTGTACATAGATCGTAGATAAGTAAATAATTAATTTAAATCAATGTTTCTTTTTTAATTGACTTCAACGTCGATTCGTAATTGAACTATCAGGTTCTCCTAAAACCCAGGAAACTTAAAGCAAGTTACTCTTGTATAGAGTAAAAATCCCTTTTTAGAAACACAAAAACTTTATTTAAACAAAATACACTTGTATAAGTGAAGAAGTAGTAAAAAAAACTTTGGGTGTTCATACCCACTAGCCACTAATGCTAGTGGACGGGCAGTCCCTCCGGACTATGCCAGACGATAGAGTGGAAGGCCCTCTTCAGCCTCCTTTCAGGAATCGTGGGAATAGGTGGGTGGTGGTTCGGCTGAGAAAGATTAGACGGACGAAATTAAGACAGAAGAGAGTGAAAAATTATCTGTGGAATATTACTGCCCCAGCATTTTTCTAATTGATTCAAGAAAACCACAGAAAAACTTGAAACAAGGCAGACGGAACCGCAATCGAACCGCCATCCTCCCGAATGCTAAGCAATGTAATGGTGTAAACCTTTAGATTATGCCGCTTGGTGAAGAAGTAACTCTAGATACGTGTAGACAATAGTTTCATTGTTTTAAAAATGCAGCGCAGTTCATATCTTGTGCAATAGTTTCTTTATATTAAAATAAAACGCAAGATATAACTCCCCTTCGTTAAACTAAAGGCGTTTCGCCGATGTTTCCAGGTAGAGTTGGATAAATCCTGAGGGGAATCTCTTCCGTTCTTGATCGATGTCTCCTTGGTTCATCTTTTTTCCTTGGTCGTTATTTCTTAAGTCTATTACATGTACTAGGATCAATTGAAAAGTCCCCGGCCTGACACATAGATGGCGGCACCAGAACTAAATCCATATGATTTTCAGTTAGTCCTTACCTTCAAAAGACGCGTCTATAAATTTGACGGCTGTTGGATCATTAGTTTGTGAATTATAGCATTTTTAGTGAAGCAACTTTTGTTATTGTGAAAAAAATGGATAAAAAGGAATTTCGCGTGTTGATAAAATATTGCTTTTTGAAGGGAAAAAATACAGTTGAAGCAAAAACTTGGCTTGATAACGAATTTCCGGACACTGCCCCGAGAAAATCAACCATCAAGGATTGGTATGCTAAGTTTAGACGTGGTGAAATGAGCACCGAAGACGGTGAACGCAGTGGACGCCCAAAAGAGGCTGTTACGGACGAAAACATTAAAAAAATCCACAAAATGATTTTGAATGACCGTAAATTGAAATTGAATGAAATAGCAGACACTCTACAGATATCAACGGAACGTATACATCACATCATTCACGAATATTTGGGTATGAGAAAGCTCTGTGCAAAGTGGGTGCCGCGCGAGCTCACTTTTGACCAAAAACAACGACGAGTTGATGATTCAGAGCAGTGTTTGAAGATGATCACGCGTAATAAACCCGAGTTTTTGCGTCGATATGTGACAATGGATGAAACATGGCTCCATCATTTCACTCCGAAGTCCAATCGACAGTCATCGGAGTGGACTGCACACGATGAACCCGCTCCAAAGCGTGCAAAAACGCAACAGTCGGCTGGCAAGGTTATGGCGTCTGTATTTTGGGATGCGCGTGGAATAATTTTCATTGACTACCTTGAAAAAGGAAGGACCATCAACAGCGACTATTACATAGCGTTATTGGACCGTTTGAAGGACGAAATCGCCGAGAAACGACCGCATTTGCAGAAAAAGAAAGTCCTGCTTCACCAAGACAATGCACCGTCTCACAAGTCAGTGAAAACGATGGCAAAAATTCATGAATTGGGCTTCGAATTGCTTCCGCATCCACCGTATTCTCCAGATCTGGCCCCCAGCGACTACTTCCTGTTCTCAGATCTCAAAAGAATGCTCGTTGGGAAAAAATTTTCGTCGAATGAAGAGGTGATCGCCGAAACTGAGGCCTATTTTGAAGCAAAGGACAAATCGTACTACAAAAATGGTATCGAAAAGTTGGAGGATCGCTATAATCAGTGTATCACCCTTGAAGGGAATTATGTTGAATAAAAAAAACGAATTTTGCAAAAAAAATGTGTTTTACTATTTTAGGCCGGGGACTTTTCAATTGACCTGTTATATTTACTAATAAAGAACGCGACCATTACAACAATTTTAGTGTAGAATTATGACGATGTTGGAAATTTTTGGTTTTTCTTTAATTAAATTATTTTCATCTTTAAAATTAATGCCTTTGACATTAATTTTGTAAAAGAATTCTTTCGGTACAATTTTTACATATTTTTCAAAATGTTATTCCCGCCCATGCCCAAAAAAAATGTGCGTCTTACAAATAACTGAAGAATAAGACGTAATTTATTAAAATTTATTTTTTGCTATTTGAACAAAAAAGTTTTTGCATTTACGCGATAAAAATTATCATTATTTACAAATTATTGATAACTTCTAATTACATATTCATATACAGATAGGTGATAATAAATAAAAAACTGTGAATTGACGAGTCTAATCGTTATTTGTTCCAAGTGTCATAATTTTATTTGTCATACCTGTGGTATTCATCCACTAAACACAAAAACAAAAGTTTAGCCAAACAATTGTTATGATTTTCGTTTATTGACCGAATAGTTTTTTAACAATAAATTAGAAACACATTAAAAATTTGTCATAGTCGTCTCAGCTGAATTGCCTACATATCCGCTACTTAATAGAACACTTATTGAATTCGCGCAAGACTTTCGTTCTTGTCAAATAGGGTGGTTGTTCAAACAAACTGGCAATATATTGACTAATCAATAACGGTTAAGACGTCTCATTGTGAACTTGAACCAATAGATGATTATTAAATTACGAAGCTTGTGGAAAAAACCCGTATTGTATTAACGTTGTCATTTCTACAAAAATGATACACATAACAGTAATTATTTAAGAACTGAAATAAACCTTTGCAAATTATGCATTAAAATTATTTACTTTTGCGTTGCATAATTATTTTCTTGTAACTCTTCATACACCTAATAGTACAATCAATTAAGTCAAAAAAGAGTGTCAACATCAGACAATAAGCTGTAAATTCGTACATACCTTTATTTTGGCATTCTAAAAGTTATGTCAAAAGTCACATAAAATCTCGAATCCGCTTCTTAAGATTGTGCCTATTGCCGATATAGTGATTCCCCGTATATTACTAATGAAAATCCCACCAAAAAACTGATGATACTAAAATGAGGATTGCCTTATGGGTTTTTCATATGGGTCTTAGCCTCGTTGCACATTACACGTTTTCGCCCGCACGATCAAAAGTCGTACGAGTTTGTATCGTGGTGTAGTTACTTTCTCACTGTACGATTTTAAACGTAGGTACCGCACGATTTGTAACCGTACAAAAACAGTATTCAGTACGCTAGTTGTCACCATTTTTGAAGAAAATATAGTAGAGTGACTATGAATCGGGGGCAAATTATAGCTTGGTTATTGCATCGGCGTCGAAAAAGACAAAGGCGTAAGCGCCTTCATTGGGTTCATCCTATTAATCAGAAACGTGAGGAAGTGGGATTATTCTACACCTTGTTTGAAGACTTGAGAAATGATGAACGGAAGTTTTTCAACTACTTTCGTATGTCAGCTGGCTCCTTCGACGAACTGCATGGCAAACTGCAGAACGTCCTTCAACGGCAAAACACACAATTTAGAAATTGTATACAACCTATTGAAATGCTAGCTATAACTTTAAGGTAATAAGTGTCTTTAACACCGACTGTTTTTACTTCCCTTGTAGAGGGAGGTATTGTAATCTTAAAAAAAATCATCCTCCGAGATTATTGCTTAGTTTTACGTTGTAGAATCCCTGAACCACGAAATACATATTTGTTTTCCCAATTCCGTAGGCCAGTTTGATGCATGTTAATTATGCACTGTAACTGAAAAGCTATTTTTTGAATGTAAATTCAAGGGCAACTAATAAATCATCCGTCAATCATAAATGTTAAGCATATTGATTTAATATCAATTTTTATTTAAATTTACGATTTTTGACAAAATTAAAAATATAGACCTAACTTGTTATACATAAAGGAGATAATTAAACAAAATCGATTTGATCTGAACAGGTGGATTCGCCTGAAGGTGTAGTTGGACTCGCCAGATATTCAGTTGAACAGTCACTGTAGCAAAAACTCGAAAGGGGTTGCAATGTTGTCTGTGATTCTGTTGTTGATTGTGTACGATTAGTGCGTGGTATTGCATTGTACACTGGCGTTGCTGAATTTTTAAGTCGATTTGAATGATGAGGAGGTGAAGTGTGACGATGCTCAGAAACATTTGAAATATGAGGTGGATATTGTTGAGGGGGATATGAAGGTTGTTTAGCAGGTACAAATGATTGATGTTCCGGAGGAGGTTGAGATAGATGCGGAAAGGCTGAGTAATAAGAGGGCACGTGAAATGAGTAGTTCGTTTGGGGTTGAGGTGTCGCTTCCTTGCTTTTATTTATATTTTCTATAACGTTTAGCACTCCCATTTGAAAATGAAGAAATTCTCCANCATTTTTCGTCCCCAGTGATGAGTGGCTTCAAAAACGGATCATTATCGTGACGTTTGAGAAGCGAATCGCAGACGTCAATGCGGCGACACAGATTTCTCTCTGTGAGAACATGGGGAACCCATACGCCATACATCGAGCTTCGAGGATAATATCTTCGTCCAGTGAATCTAATTAAGTAATTAAATAACACTGACTTTTTAAGAAAAAATACTTGAAAATTTAAATCCATTAACATCAATTTTTGTCCTAATTATTAAAGTTTACGTGACTCCTTTTCACAATTGAACCTCATACTATAAGAAAAATACATTTAGTTATTAAAGTCATTCAAAATCCTAAAGTTTCAAGTATAAAATCTCAGATCAAAACACAACAAACTATTAAACTCATCGACAATACGTCATAAAGACAACAACGGAAGGTCACTATCGATTACTAATAACACTTATTATCAACATCAAAATGTATATACTTGTGCTTGACGTTTTAAGTGTAAGAATATCAGAAAATTTATTAATTTAGTAAGGGGTGGCGACGAGAACATATATAACAGGGGTGTAAAAATACAAGAGCCGTATAAAAGAACTGTGAAATATATTGAGAATAACTTCATTAAGAAAACTAATACAAAGAGTCCCAAAAACTATATATATATATACCTATCGAGAGGGTTTATGATTCTTATATTTATGAAGGACTAGCCTCTTTCCGCGACTTCGTCCGCGTGGAATAATTATATTTCATTTACTTTCTCTAGCGAAATGCCCCTCCCAATGTCTTGGATGCGCGCTGGCAAAATCGTAGGTAGGGAGAAAAAAGCTCATTACAACCTCAACTCTTGTTCATTAAACATACTTTTTCATACAGTACCTACCAAAAGTTTTGTTCAATCATGAATAGTAGTGCGGGTCGAAAACAAACATTAAAGCCTTTAGTATGTATTCAAATATAAATAAACATCTCGTTGATATTTTCAGTAGTAAATGGTACCAATAACAGCACATTTGAGCAATGCAATTGTAGTGGATAAAATGGTCAATTTTTCCGTGTAGTACTGTACGGATTATACGCTCCTCGCCGGTTAAGAGTTTGGCCAAGAGTTGTGTCCTTCCTTTTCTGGCCTAGTGCTGTTCTTTTCTACTTTGCGCCGGTCAAACTGAATATCACATCGCTACAGAAAGTAAACGAAGTATACTATGGGCTAACGCTAACTATAACCCGCGACTTCGTTTACGTAGAAGGTGAAAATATTTTTAAATAATACGTACTTTAAAGAGCTATTTTAGGTACCTACATATGAATAACGTATTTATTTGGATAAGAATTAATATTATGTTTATAGAAACACCTTCGCAAATAAATATTATTTTAAAACAAATTTGGTTAGCATAAAAAAGGTTATAGTTAGCCAACCTTAAAAGATAGACATATGCTATCGCGAACTTTTTTTTTTGAACTTTTAAAGGGGAACAATTCTGTCATACATGATTTTTGAGAAAATTTAACCGTTTACGCAGCGCAAGCAGCGAAAGCTCTCAAAAGGAAAAAAAACCGATTTTGAAATATTCTTCATTGATGCTCCGCTCCTATTGGTCTTAGCGTGATGATATTAGCCTATAGCCTTCCTCGATAAATGGGGTATCTATAGGGTTGTTCGGAAAATCATTTCGTTTTTTTTGTGGAAATGAAAGACAGTTTTCGTATAATAAACAAATACTTTTTTAAATTATATATTGACCGTTCTGGTCCAACACCTTTTGCCATCTTTCTGGTAGTAGCATAATTCCACGCTCATAAAATTTTTGGTCTTTGCTGGCAAAAAACTGATCGAGGAGGTTTTTGACCTCCTCATTTGAGGTGAAGGTTTTACCGTCTAAAAAATTTTGGAGTGACCGGAACAAATAATAATCCGATGGTGCCAGGTCTGGAGAATATGGTGGGTGTAGCATTGTATCCCATTCAAGCTGTAAAAGCTTTTGGCGAGTGACCAAACTTGTGTGAGGTCTCGCGTTGTCTTGGTGAAACACTACACCTTTCCTGTTGATTAGTTCTGACCTTTTCTGTTGAAGTGCATCATTCAGTTTGTCCAGCTGATGACAGTAGACTTCCGAATTAATCGTTGTGTTATCCGGTAAAAGCTAAAAAAAAACGATTCCTTTAAAATCCCACCAAACAGACAGCATCACCTTTTTTTGGTGAATATCGGCTTTGGAAATGGTTTGAGCCGGTTCATCTTTTTTGCTCCATGACCTCTTGCGTTTGACGTTGTTGTATACAACCCATTTTTCGTCCCCAGTGATGATGCGCTTCAAAAACGGATCATTTTCGTGACGTTTGAGAAGCGAATCGCAGACGTCAATGCGGCGACACAGATTTCTCTCTGTGAGAACATGGGGAACCCATACATCGAGCTTCGAGGATAATCCCAGGCCTTTCAAGTGGTCATAAACTGTTGAATTTGATAAATTTAACCTCAATCCGATCTCACGTGTTGTTATTCGCCGGTTCACATCAACTAATGCCTTTATCGCGTCTTTATCAGCTTCAACCGGCCTTCCCGAACGTGGTGCATCTTCGACATCAAAATTGCCGGATCGAAATTTAGCGAACCAGTTCTGGCACTGGCGTACTGTCAACACACCTTCTCCATACACATCAGTCAATTTCTTTCTGGCTTGAACAGCATTTTTACCCTTTCTGTAGTAAAACAGTAAGATATGTCGAAAATGCTGCTTATCGCTCTCCATATTTAAAAGGGCACCAACCAAAAACTACTGCGTAGAATTAATTGGAATTTTTCACACACAAGCCTTGCTATATGAGCTCTCAAAGCATATAAAAATTATACGGCTTAAATGTGAAGTTGGGTGCAAAATAATACAATTAAATCCTCTGTCGGGAAAAAATGAAATGACTTTCCGAACAACCCTATAACACTGAAAGAATTTTAAATCGGACCAGTAGTTCCTGAGATCAGCGCGTTCAAGCAAGCAGCCTTTCAGCTTTACAGTATTAGTATACATATTAACTGAAGAATGCTAAATATATTCAAATTACATGTATATTATTGAAAAAGTTATTTAATACTTTACTAAATACTGATAACGAATTCGGTGAATATGAATAAATAAAAATAAATATTGCTAATTATTATGCTTGGCAACTAAATGCTGGGACAGCCCAGTAAAATAATTAGGAGACCTTAAAAGCGAAAATGAAAGTATGAGTCTAATAATTAAAATTAGAATAGCAATATTTAATATTCAAATTCAATATTTCTGCAATTCGATACTTAAAAGTAACATAAACACATTCAACTGAGCAATAATTACCATGAAGTCTCGACGATAAGTCCACATGAAGTAAAAACGTATTCAATGAATCGAACAACTTCTCTCGAAAGTTTTTTTTAGTGAAGGTCGATTACATACGCGTAAAAATAGGTTTTTAAAATAGAGTCTTATAACTGGCATTTTTCTCATTGGCAAGGTCTTATTGTTCAAGAACATTCCGAAATGTATGTCATTAAGTTATTTTGGTTATTTTCTAAATGTTTGGAAATTTCCAGATTTAGTTTATATTCACTACTGTAGCGGATGTTTCAGATAGAAGCGGCATTTAGTAAAGGACAAAATATAAAATTTGTTCACATTTGGCGGACCGAAAATCTCTTGTCTTTAAAATTTATTCATTAATAACGAAAGTTTTATTCTTAATGATGAAAAAAGAATGTGTGCAAAGAAAAATTCGACATTTCATGTTCGCCAAAATTTATCAAAATTCATTAATTTTTATCCACTACAAATTACCTCAAATTGCGGCAATACCTATTTGTTAAGTTATTTCTCGTAAATAAATGTTTCTTGCTTATAGGGCAAACTTCATTAACCAGGAACACGCACTGACTGTCTGCCCCCTGCTATGACGTTAGAGGAATTTTAAGAGGAAGTAAGTCACCTGGATGATCCCGTTTTTTCATTCCATCTGACGATGATTCAGTTAACTATAACGAAATTAGCGAGGCAGAGGAGAAAAATAATACAGAAAAGGCAGATACTGACATAATTTTTTCGGGAGACTTTGATTCTGTGAGTGATTCTCCCCTTTCAGAAGTAACACTGGAAATTCAAATACGCAACAATATAACTCCACAGTTTGATGCTGAGCGTTATTATGCTGAACCTACATGGAATAATGCTAATGTAAATAAGCAACCTCAAAATTTAAAAATAATTTTTCAAATACCTCAATTTGTAAATAATGTGAATAAAAAAGCAGCAGCGTACATTTTCAGACTGTTTCTAATAGATCGATTAGTAGATCAGCCAACTTATATGCCCAAAAGAATTTAAAATCAGGAATGAGTTTGTTTCAACTACAAAACAAGTAGAAACTTTTATTTTAATTAACTACTGATGTTCATCAGCAGACTTAAATGATTTCTACATAAGTAGCAAAATGTCTTTGAGTAGATTCAGTTGGTTCCTGGCGAACATCCATTGGAACGACAATAGCAATATTCTTTCAAGGAGTCATGCAAATTAGAATAAATTGCATAAATTGGGGCCATTCGTTGAGAAAAAATTCCTAATAAGTTTTAAAAACAACTTTAATCTTTCGACGTGTATTGCTACTGATGAGACAATGGTTAAATTTAAAGGCAGGAAAGTTTAAAGTAATAAAAAACCTATAAAGAAGAGGCTGCAAAATCTAGATTCTTGCTGATCAATCAAAATATGGTTAGAACATTCAATTTTATACAGGAAAAGTTGAAGGATCTCTGGCTTCAAGAGTAGTTATGGATCTTAGATGTATTGGATTTGTCAGGATTTATGTAATAAAAATCATCGTTTATATATAGGCGTGCCGCTTTTTGAAGACTTACTTACAAACAAAATTTATGCTTGTGGAAACATAAACATAAGTCGTCGATTTATACCAAAATTTGTAAGTGATAAACAAATAAAGAGGGGAGAATATAAAGAACTTATCAGTGACTCCAATTTAGTGGCAGTTAAGTGGAAAGATAATTGGGGTGTACATTTATTATCGAACATCCAACAACCCCACGATGCAGTACACAATAAACACAGACAAAGAGATCACAGGTTTTATACATTTTTAGAAGGAAATCCACAATTAAGTTTAAGAGCTACAAGTCCAATGAAGACGGTTGGGTTTCATCAACCTCAAGTTAAACTATTTTTCGATAAATCAGAAGTATCGATGAACAAATGTTCGTTTTCACACTCAAATTGGCTGGCATTTCTTGCGTTCATAAAAACCCCAAGGTTTTATTATCGATAAAAGGAAAACACCAAGTAGGTAAATTGGCATGTGGTGAAAGAGGCGAAAACATTTTACTGTTCGGTATGAATACAATAGGACAATTTTTCCTCCATTATTCATTTTTCCACGTCAACGCATGATGATTGCATGATTACGAGACTACAGTTGGATGGATGCACAGCGCATGAAACGTCAAGTAAAATTTACAAATCCCACTGAGGAAAATCCTATTCTTCTCATCCATATGTTAAGCACACCACACACAAGCGGAATAATCCCGGAATACGAGGACTTGTATGATATTACTTCCATTGTCTCCGAAGCATACGCCAAGGTCTACAGGTTAGATGTAGCACAAAATCAACTTTAATGCACGGGAATTTTTCCATACAATGCTAATATTTTTACTAAACTGAATGCTCTTCCCTCTTTGATGACAAATATTCCTAAAGTTAATTTGTCAATTGAGCCTGACTTCACAACGTTACCAGAAGTAAGATCTTCCATTCAGAATGTAAATGTTGTAAAACCTAATAGATTTATGGCCAGTTTACGATCAACAAGTAGCATATGCAATTCTTCAAAAGTCAATATCCTTCTGTTGTTATCAGGCCTTCAACTAGCATTATCACAAAATTACACAAAACACAGAAACAAAAAACAGTCGCACCATAAACTTTATTCTTCAACAATCGTTCCAGTTACAGTTCGTTACAGTTCCAGACACAACCAACCGACGTCTTTAATCACGTAAAATAAATTCAGGGACCAACCTTAGGTTAACGTCAACCCCCTACAAAGACAATCTTGAAACCTAACCTAACCTAACCCTCTACAAGGACAATCTTGAAAAGAAAAAGATCATAGAAAGTTAGAAAGTCTTCAAAAGAGATCATCATCATTATAAGGTTGTCAGTCCTAAGACTCCTTAACTATTTGCGAACAGTAATTTAATCTGGGTCTACCTCTACCCCTCCTAACTTTCCTTTCTGCCTTTAATATGTCTCTGACTAGACTTTCATACCTGAGAAGGTGTCCTACTAACCTATCTCGCCTATTTCTTACTGACTTCCATAGAGTCCTCTATTCTCTTACTCTCCCTAATACCTCTTCATTTCTAACCTTCTCTAACCACTGTATCCTCATCATTTACCTGTAGCACTACATTTCGCACGCTTCTAACCTTTTCTTTTCCGCCGCGCCCACTGTCCATGTTTCGCACCCGTAAAGCGCCATGCTACAAACACTCACCTTTAACAACCTTCGAATTTCTAAATTAATCGTTTGCGAATATAGAAGTGACTTCTTTTTATTGAAGGCGACTCGACACTGCGTTATCCTCTGCTTTATGTCCCTACTACTCCTTCCGCCCTGACTTATCTGACTTCCTAGATACCTAAAATCGGCCACTTCTTCTAATGTTTTGTCTCCTATCTTTATGTCCGCTCTCTCCCTACTTTTACTTCCCTTGCATACCAGTATTTTTGTTTCACTTTTATTTATTCTCAAAGAGATAGTTTAAAAAATTATGGATTAGATAGTGGGACAACAAAAGCTAAAGAAAACAGATTTGATAGAAAAAAGAAAGTGTATCTGTAGAAATAACTGAAGACTCGTAAAAAAAAAAACAAAACTATTCACAAAAACTGTGATACATGTGACTGTTGTTTGAAGAAGAACCAATATGCTGCAAAGTAACAGTTTATGTTCGTATCCGGTAATAGCCGCCAGTAGTATTACCGTGTTATAATAAAAACAAGATACTCCAGGCGAATTTATCATTTTCTTATGGTTTGTTATCTTACAATAGCGTCCTATCACGTAAACGTAATCAGAAAGGTACTACCACACTGACTCAAACGTTGCTTAATGCTCAGAAATACGATAAGTCAGATGACTTATCACTTTATTGCTTTTATTGTTTGTTATCTTACAATAACGTCGAATTACGCAAAAAACAATCAGAAAGGTACCATCGCACTGACTCAAACGTTACTTAATGCTAAAAGATAATTAATGAAAAATTTAGAATGTTCAGAATTTTCAAATATATGGACTTTTTCGCCCAATAGATGATTTTGTAATGGTGAAAACAACCACAAATCATGTAACTTGTATGAATTTGAAGAAGTAAGCAAAGATTCCTACTCTGAAGTAAGACGAGGTATGGAAGAATCTCCTACAGAATATGTTCCGAGCAGATTATGACGGCGCAAAGAGAAAAAAGAGACATAGTTCAGGAAAGCAAAACATTGCATTTCTAAAAGAGACAAAAAAGCAATTGAAGCACGCGCGATAGGACCAATTTATCTTTGCAAGAATAAATTCAGACAGGAACTGAAAGATACACTCATGAGACCATTTACGTTAAATTGTAGAGGCTGGTATCCTTTGATGTTCTGAACAGCTATCCCTTTGCCTGAATAGGAATAGTAGCTACGAATGTCTCGTACGAATAGAAACCCAAACGCCAGGAGTCAGGCAGGAAATTTACTATTCATTACATACTGTGCTTTACGGTGAAGTTGCAAAAGTATGCAACGTGGAGCTGGTGAACATCCATATCCACAGGCTTCAGAAATTACGTAAGAATGAAATCAACTGGGGCTACATTGCGTTTGTTCCAGATAGAAGAAGTAAACACATGGACCATCCAAAAAAATTAAATGATGGCCAAATCCAATCGGTAAAAACTCACACTGGCTTTTAGTGGACTACACAAGGAATATCATATTCTCCGGTGTGAGAAAGAAAATGTATTACCCCTAGTGAAAAAAATATCCCAATAGTAACCAAAAATAAAAACAGCAATGAAAGAGAAGTTCACAATTTAACAACTCCACTAGATTTATATATAGGTTGTCAGAGAGATGCAAGACTTGTCATATCAACATCAGAGAATTCTGGACATATAAACATAAATTAGGTATATTCTGCGATCTCTAGCACGCTATTCCCTTGCCGAAGTTAACAACTGGATTTCTAATTCAATTATATTTTGCTAACAAATGTATTATAATCTAGTACTTAGAACAATAAATTTAATAAAAAATTGTCTGAAAATAGTTTAAATAAACCGAAACTTAACAGAAAACAAATTTGTTTCATTAATTGACCGGTATCCTGGAAAAAAATATAATCCCTCTAATTTAAAGGAAAATTGTCCAAACCTCCAAGCATTTCAGCAAAATGCTAAACAATGTAGAGTAATTATTGCCTTACCTACATAAGATCGATTCATCACTTCTTCTATAACTAGTTAAACGCAACTCCTCAATCGGATGATAAAAAACAGAAATCAATTTTTTGTTAACCTTGTGGAATATTTTTGCGCGATTTCAATAAAAGTAATTTCTGTATTAAGAAATTTTTTCTTCGCAAAAGTGATAAACAACATTTTTTGATTAGAAAGCTCTTGTATTTCTAATTTGGTTTTACAGCTGACACAAACAAAAGAGGATGGTAACCAGATAATTAAAAAAAGTATCAATTGATATTACCTTATTTTACAGAATTTTTTAAACCTGTGATGCCAAATGTAAAGTTTATACTTTGGTGGCTTGTCAGCATGCTTAGAGATGTATATAACACCTAGTGTAATCGTCTTGATATTTATTCTGAAATTGGTTTTAAAGCAAACTTCTAATATTTAAACAACTATTACTTGCTTAGTTTAACTTTACAGTTAGGTACAGCCTGTTCTAAATTTGTTGATGTAAAATTCATAGAAAGGAGACGCAGACGGTTCAATTCTCGGAACACAAGGGTCTGCCCCGGCTTTTGCATACAAGCAGTGGCGTACATATAAATCTTCGTAGTTCTAGGAAGTTCATTGGGTACTCGACGAAACATTCATTTTTAAATATTTCAACAGGTAAATAAATAGAACCCACATGTGTATTAGAAAGTGTTCTGTCAATTTTTTTGATTCTTGTATCCAGATCCCCTGTCGTACTTTTTAATACTCGTTAAGAAAACACTGTTCTTATTCTTATTATTTATTATTAATCTATTACATACAGTTTTGTTACATTCCAAATGTTAATTATTATTTTAATAATCGTTTCCTTTTATAACTCAAAAAATATATAATATCCGTATCATACATCTCTTTAAATTATCATCAAATGTTCCACATCATTATTTAAGAACCAATATCAAGATTTAACCAGAAAATGTTATATTCACTTATTTTTGTATTTTTATACCGTTGTAAAACGAAGTCAAACTTCGTGCACTTGGTGCTACAAAACTAGCACCGAACTTGAAACTTTTCTGAGAAGTATCCTAAATGGCGCTTTTGCTAGCGTCCCTTTAAAAGGGAGCAAGTACCAGATTTCAGGCAGTTCTAATTCTAATTCTATTGTTGCAACATCCAAGTTTTCTACATCTTTTCCATTTCTTATTTTTAGTTAAACGTTAAGTAGAAAGTTAGTTAAGTGTAAGTAATAAGAAATAAACTTTGTTTTCAAAAATTGTGTAGTGGTTTACTTGCTTGGGAATGAGTGTGTACACTGTACCACCCATTTTAAGAAGGCGACATAGTCGCGAGATACAACAGTTTACAATAATTATATTTCAGTTTATGTTAATTTGTTAATTGAAAATGTACCCATGTATGTTTCATCCAGAGTCCAGTGAATCTTCAATCATTACGAAGATTTAAATGTACGCCACTATACGTATGAGAAAACCTGGACAGACCCTTGTGTCTTGAGAATTGGCCTGACTCGTTTCTGAGAATTTTATATCAACAAATTTTGAACAGGCTCTATCTATCTACCTGCAGAAAAATAACACTCTGTGTCCAAATTATCCAGTATTTGTATTTTGAGAGTAGAAAATGTACATAATAAGATTTAAGTTTATATCATAATGCAATATTGCGAAATTGCTTACAAGCTGGATGTAAATAAATTAAAAATTGAAAAGTTCAATAAACATTATGATCGCCTACATATCTTCACTTTCACTACGCCTCTGTTTGTCGATGTCTTATTAGAGGAACCGGCAAAAACTAAGAATAGCACCGGATATGAGCCTAGCGATAAATTAAACTCTCATTCAAAATTCACACAGAAAAATCATTTCACCACAATGTTCAGTAAAAGCATAAAATACTCCCATAAAAACATGTTAAAGTACATGCTGAAGAAAATTTTATTTCTGATGATAAAATGACATACCAAACTTACGTCTAAAGTCACTCTCAGACGGAATTCTAGGATATCTTCTACCCAGTCCCATCCTGACGTTGTCTTATTATAAAAACACCACAATTATTTATGTGTAAAGGAAACAAGTAAAATACTTGTGCACAATTTCAGCCCGCTACACCATCACTAACACGCAACGTGATCGAAGATTCGAGAGGTAAAACTACGCATGCCAAGTGCCAAATATCAGCTGTTAGAACGGAACAGAATCATTACGAAGGCGGGCCAGGTTACCTGTAGCAAGCGCAGTAGAACTCGGTAAACTTCCAACCATGACTCAAGCTCTGTTATGTCAGAGGCGGCACAGTGTAATAGTAAAGAGCAATAAAATTACAAAATATGGTTTGGACTTAAAATTAAATAAACAGCAAACTAATTTTTCTGGACAGGTCACTACTGCACTTAGCGAAGCTCACATACTTATTTAAAGATAGCTGAAATTGCACAAACGTGCGATATCCTACCATGTAAAGATTTTTCGAAATTTGACCACTAAGAAAGCAAAAAGGGCTAAAATTCACAAACTTTTACAAACTTCCTTAAATTAGGTGACACACTCAAGTAAAATCTATTGCTCAGCACGCAAACTATTTACTGATAATTGGATAGAACAGACTAGACATTTTTTAACATATGACCATTAAGGGGTAAAAAGGGGCAAAAGTTAGATTTA